AAAAACAGACATAGACCACTACTGACATCTTTCTGTCAACATAGTCCCTTAAGTGTAAAAGGTTGTTATAGTTGTTTTTATCATTCTGATATTCATCACATTTTTCTGTTTTCAAGTTATAAATCCTATTCAGACTAACAAAAGGATATGATCTATTACTATCTATCCCTAAACTCTACCCTTAGCAAAAACTCCATAAGTGGGCAAATGTTGAGAAAATAGTATGGAAGAGGATATTATAATATAACACTTCTAGTTACAATCATGTAATTATAGAAACTCTTGATCACTATATAGCCTACTGATACTTTCCATATATTGCGACTTTGGGGTCTGATGGTTAACCAGAACTGGGAGCTCTGTCATTCAAACAGGAAATTTTTTTGTATTTCATATCACAGCAGAATAAAATAGTGTGAAAAGAACCAAGAATAACAAACCAAAAACTGAACCAAGGGAGTCAAAAACAAACCCTAAAATTTTGAAACTGTCAGACCCCTAATTGCAACCAATTTGATGCATAAAGCATTTGGCGTAATAAAGTAAGTGACTCATTTCAGTACCTCAGGTTTAAACCTTATAACTCTGTGGGGGGAAATGCCTGGGACACAATGCTACTTAAAAGAAAAATCAGATACATCTTAGGCAAAGGGGTATAATGTCAACTCCATCTCATTTCAATTTGGGGTAACTTCGACGTATGGGGTAACTTCAACACCTAGTTGTTTATTGGCACTAATTTCCAATCTAGGTCACCGTAAAACCTATGTTGTTTCCCCATTTTTTTCTCACATGGATCAAGAATAAAGATCTCATGAGATTTTGATTTGATTGATTTGAAATTGATTTTTTGAAAAATATTTTTTTTGTACTTTTTTTCATCGTCTCATACACTTTTAAAGTGCCCAGTAAGCACCAAATAGCATCTTAAAATTGTAAGAATTTCTAGAGGTAGTGGGCCACCCCTCACACCCCCTCAATACAATAGAAAAGTTCTGAATTTATTTTATGTATTGTCTCAGACACTTTTAAAGTGCCCAGGTGCCCAGACATCATCACATAGCTCCTTGATATAGTCAGTGTTTCTGGGGACTAACTCTTGCTCCTCTTCGGATCCCCACCCCACCTCCCCCTTTGATACCCCCGCCTCCCTTGACACCCGTCCAAAAAATAGAAAAAATTGTGATTTTCTCAATTTTTTAATTGACTCATACCCTTTGAAAGTGCCCAGAAGTACCAAACATCATCTTAAAATTGTAAAATTTTCTAGAAGAGTTGGCCACCTCTCACATCCCCCACAAAACAATTGAGAAAATTCTGAATTTCATGTTTTGTCTCAGACATTTTTAAAGTGCCCAGACATCATCAAATGGCACCTTGATATGGCCAATGTTTCTTGGAGACAACCCCTCTGGCACCCCACCCTACTTCACCCTCTCATTCTCTTTGACACCCCCAAAATTATTGACTCATTCACTTTAAATGTGCCCAGAAAGCACCAAATAGCATCTCAAAAGTGCAAAATTTTCTAGGGGGAGTGGGTCACTCCTCACAAGTTTGGAAGTTGCATTTGTTAATCTTAAACACTTTGAAAGTGCCTAGAAGTCACCAAGTGACATAATAAAATCATAAAAACATAAACATTTCTGGCAGCCCACCCCAAAAACTAAAGCATTCATTTACTCAAACACATTAAAAGTGCTCAGAATTAACCAGACAGCATCTTGAATTAGTAAAATTTTCCTTGCTGCTCCCTCGCTTTCCTAAGAAGAAAATGATTGAAAAAGTCTGAATTTCGTATAAATTGATTCTATTTCAATTAAAACACCTTGAAAGGGTCCAGAAATCACTGAATGTGATCTTGAACTGGTAAGTACACCCTCCCCCTATTCCAGTGTTTCGCCAAATTGGTCATACAATATTTAGTCTAAAAACAATATGAAAACAATAAAATACTACAAAATAGGCTGAGTGGCCCAATATAGGGAGTAACCTACCACCCCTTTGACTTACGCAATTTGATTTACTTGGCAAAAAAATTGACAATTTTATTTTCTCTTTAGTTAAAACCGCACCCCCTTGGAGAAAAGTGTCTTACGGGCCTGAGAAGTATCATACTTTTATTTATTTGGTCAGACTTTTTCCGATGTACATTGCGATGTGCATCGATGTTTACTATTGAAAATTGCCCATGCATGCATCGATGTACGATTATGGCACATCGCGACAACACTAGAGGTGTCACGGTCCAAAAACATTTTGGTACGGTATACAGGCTCGTAGCCAGGATTTGCCAAGGGGGGTTCAGTTTTCAAAAATTTCCAGGGGGGTTCACATTTGACAATTTTGGCCCAAATATGGCTAAAATCACTTGAGAAGTGCTCAAAATGGTGGAAAATTGCATGATTTTGAAAGTAATTTTGGCCAGGGGGGTTTGTCCAAACCCTGCAACCCCCCCCCCCCCTGGCTACTGGCCTGGTACAAATGGTCTCGGGACACGGTACTAATGGGATGGGACAGAACATTGAAGAAAAAGATGCAATGTCCGATGATGGCAGTTTCACTTTTCAAAATCATATTCAGAAAAAAACGTCAATTTTAAATCTAATATGATGCATCTGCAGCGAATGTGATTGGCATTTCACATAATCTGCACTGTGTACTATCACCAATTCATTTACCTTGTGATATCGGAGTCCCAAAATACTTCCAAACTGCTGACTTTTTCGACTTAGATGCCAGCTCAATTTATTCTTTTCTACATCCGGCATACTGATAATGCACACGATTTGTGAACGACGATGTAGAAGTTTACGAACAAGCAGTACCATCTACCTAAAATCGGGGTCCGTTAATAACATTTTTCAATGCAACAAAGTGTAATCTAGGTACGAGGTAAGTGAAAATATTTAATTTTTCAGAATGAAATCAGAGGTGTTCCTCACTATTTATACACGTTTTTATGCATTTTAGGGAAGGAATTTATGTACCGTTAACGTACCAATATTAACCCTTTCTGTCCCGTGTCCCGAACCATCTGGACAGAAATTCGGTCCAATATCAGGAAATCGTGACACCTCTAGACAACACTACGGTGAACTCTCGCAAAGTAATAATTCTATTTAAAACATCTTACTATGTAATTATCAGTCACATAATAAAGTAAACTACATGTATTAGATATGGTGCAACTGAACTTGTGTAACGTTGCAACACAGTACACACTGTGACAACACTTACTCGAGTCATGTAACTTCATTGATTTCGTATTTTATCTAGAAAAAGTGTCACACGCACCTAGAACTCCTATTTAATAATTTTTATAAATATATATAAGAATATTTTAATTATATTGAGGTTGAAGCGTTGCTTGTCTGGATTAAAATATTTCAAAATTTCTTTTCGGAAAGAACCTTAAACTCAAGGATTCGCCATTTCTACAGCTCACTCAGCAGAAAAATGGAGGCCATTTTGAAATGAAATTCCACTCAGCTAAATCAAAATATATATAACAATCGATTAAGACGGAGATATGAGCTGATATTCTGCAAATGTATGCATAAAGGTATGTTTCATATAATTATGCCGTAACAACTGTGCATGTGCCACCATGATTTACAAATAATGAATTACCAGGGTGGCTGTAACAATCACTCGAAGCCGGAACATAGAGAAGGCTTTGGCCCTAAGATTTTCGACATCTAAAAAGTTACTCGACTTTTTTGTGATTTTGAATCACAGAAAGCATTCTGAAGTTTCAAATTGGCACCACTTTTAATTTTTGGCATCCGCCTAATGTATACCACTTACCTTGTCATAAACTCAGTTTGACCAGAAGTATCTTTGTTGCCGCTCGATTTTTTAAAAAAATGCCCCTTTTCTAATATATGCGGTTTACTTGGACTCGCCCAAAACGAGGGGTGTCAAACGCAAGATGTTAGAGATGAAGACATGTCGCCACTCTCAGAGAATCTATTCCATAATTTCAACATTACTACATGGTTTTACAAGCAAAAAAGATAGGGCAGGTTGTATATAGGACTGGACAAGATGAAAATAAATATTCTAAATAGATGACACCCCTTTCGAAATAAGATGAACTGAACCTATCACTAGTGTTGTCAATTAATCGATACATCGCGATATACATCGCCAAAGCTGGTTCTGGCGATGCATCGATGTCTGAAACAAAACATCAATGTTTTTAAAAAATTTTAATTTGCTAAAAATCGCCCTTTCTTATCTTATTTTGACGCAGATTGCTTACCTTTTTTAATGTCTTATTTCATTTTCAAATGTTTTCTGATATTCTTTCGCTTTAAAACTGTTTTAGCTAGTCGAAATGAACCATTAATCTAAAAAATTACTTTACTTTCATTTCACTGTTACTATGTTCCCGGATGTACCAGCGTACTCTTATTAATTTGTTCTGTTCGATATTTTAGTGCATTAGCGTTCGGTATTTCAGTGCACTTTTCTCGAACTTTTTCTCGATGTACATCGCGATGTGCATCAATGTTTACTACTGAAAATTGCCGATGCATCGATGTACGATTATGGCACATCGCGACAACACTACCTATCACGTGACCGATTTCTTAGAAGAAATGACACCAGAAAAACAAAAGCTCCGAAGAGAATTTTCGCTTGAAATGTTGAAAAGCAAGCCCAGTTTTCTATGGGAATATACCGTAATTAATAGTTATGTGTATAATATTACCGAGTTCGATGGTGCATAAGTTGGGCGGTGGATCATTTTGTAAGTACGACAATGTGAATTCATGCAACTGTTACTTTTTGGAATCTTTTTTGCAAAAAAGTCGAGCAACTTTTTAGATGTCGAAAATCTTAGTAAGACAACACAAAACTTGTGACTTGCAAGCTGATATATGAAAAAAGTGGGTTCAAATACACTGATTTCTAGTCTATAGCTTAGGTCCAAAGTCATAAGCATATGATTTAATTTTTCAAACTATCCTCTAATCTTAAATTATACATACCCTTGGTTCATATTGAGGAACTAACAAGAAATTTCACGAAATTTGAGGACCAAATTTTAATTTCTAGCCATTTCCGGTTTCACATAGTCTCTAAACTTTTTGATTTTTTTCTTAGAGTTATATAATACTTATCAAACGATTCACGAGAAGATTGTTATATAAATTTCGAAACAATAATATTTAATCTACAATTTACATCCACGAATGTCTGAATGACTAATAATATACTGTAATTTATATTATAAAAGAAGGTGCTAGAGACTGCAGTAATACTTCCGCCCGCCTGACCTACATTCTTTTAAATTTTTGAAAGTGAACTTTCAGGAAGAAAAACTGTGATGTAAGCATCATCAGTAGATCTGATCACGAAAACATCAATCCCTCAAGAGAGTCCAGGCAATCATTATCATTCAGTGAGCATATTAAGGTAAAGTTCATCCTTGATTCATCATTTTGTATCTTTTCAACCTTGTCCTTGGGCTGAGTTTCAGTGACGTGAGCAAATTTTTTTTCTTTATACATATTCACCTATAGAGTCAATACGTCCAAATCCAAACAGGGGGGTAAACACGAACGGGTTCCAAATAATGGCAAGCAGATCATTGAATTGAATAATAGTACCTCTACTACCTCTACATAATATTTATAGCCTTAAAGATACAATATAATGATGTTTACCAACAATCTTACAATAAAATAATCAATTATGATGATTTAGGTGTTCGGAATTACCCCCATGCTAGTGTTTGGAATTACCCCCACAAACGCTGTGCGTTTAAATAAATAGATGTCAGTAATAAATGATTTAAATTTGGGTTTCTTGATATGCAGGGGTGCCAGGATCCAGTATCATAAGTTAAGGGTATCATATAATGATATACCATCAATCTAATAATTAAAACAATTAAGTTTAAGTTAAGTGTTTGGAATTACCCCCATGCAAGTGTTCGGATTTACCCCCCAAAAAAACTCCTGTTCGGAATTACCCCCCTAAAATACCTTGTAGTAAAAATGGAATAACCCAGATATTTTTTACAGTTTTTCGTAATTTATTCTGCAAATGCATTCTACAGTGGATAATACACATAATATATATAGAATCATAGCATAGATGTGCAGTACAGCCAAGCTAACTAAATTTTTTGATGGGGGTGTTTGGAAATAGACGTACTGACTCTAGTCTACTCCTTATCAGTAAAGAAGCCCTGAATCTGCTCCTTGATGTGCTAATTTGGCAATTGTGCTGACCTATTGATTGTGCAATTGTGCTGACCTATTTTCGTCGAAATTATCTGAAACTTGAGTCTAAACTGGCGAAATCCATATTTGTCTGATTGGTTGTTAAATTATTTATCAGTGTTGGTTACGTGACCAAAGGAACTCTGTAAATGGTAGTTCTGGCTCAGGCTCCAGGTGCATGCCGAGTTTGCCGAAGCTTGTGTGTGTGACGATCCTTCAGATTACTTTGAGCATGGTAATGGAATTGCCTTGAAGGATTGTCACTTTGTTCAACTTTTTGCTCTTCACTTTATCAATTGTGCTTTTAGTTACTCAATATTTAAAGAGTTATAAAATAATTTAAATTCTGTAAAAGGGTAGTCAGTATTTCTACTTTGGCTATACTCTTAAAGTATGGTTAGAGTTTAATCATTTTACTCTATATTTATATTTATTTTTACTAACCTTCTCTTGTGTTTTTAATGTAATATTATTTACAGGATTAATGTCAACATATATATTTTGTTCATAATAAGACTTTAATGTGAATGTTTTAGGCCCAGTTTCATGTTTAATGTTATGTTACAAACTTTTTAGAAAGGGCAGTTGTCTGGGTTTGTTTCAAAATCCAAAGTGAGGCTTATTAAGCTTGATTTAAGTAAATAAGCACGATTTAAGTGAATTGTCTTTTTCTGTGCTTTTATGATTCGAATTCAAGCCGGCCAGACATGGAAAACATTTTGTGGAATTTTAAACATTAAATCGTCACTAAAATTGGATATTTATATTGCCGCAGATAAACCAACTTAGGTGTACGAGTTGGTAAAGGTAATTGACTTGATCTAATTGTATTTTTGCAGAGTTTTAGTCTTTGAAAAGAAGTATCTGTACACTTGATTTTTTTTCCTTAATTTTATTGATTTGCCTTGTGAACATCCCGTATTTAAATTGTCCCAGGGATTGTTAAGGAACATTTGACAAGGTTAAAGCAAAGTTACACGCAGAGTTTTTGTCTTAAAGAACCTATGTAACTTATTAACGAGCGTCGAAAGCAAGTTCCCGGGGTTCCTTATGGAACCTTCTATACAACATTCCCCACAGGGAATCGTTTAGGAATATTTGACAAGGTGTACGGAAAGTTACTGTCTTTACGAACCTTATGTAGCTTGCTCTAAACCAGAGTCAACTGCAAATTCCAGGGGTTCATAGACACCTCTATAAGACATTCCCCCCCCCCATCCAGTTTGGGACTGTATTTAGTTTGTTCACAGGGTAAATTTTATTGATACACTAGAAATACTCCTTTGTATATTTGTATGTTAAATTCTGGGTAATTTAAAGGTGAAATCCCGGGCTTATGGGACCATTATCAAACAACTGATCATTGAAGTACTTTTAAGGATCACGGTCTTTCGAAGCCCATTTTCGGACTTAAGACACCCCCTCCCCTTCTAGTTTTCCATGTCTGGTCTAATTCTGTGTTAACCACATTCTTATTCATTGATTATAGATACTAGAATACTTTTAAAATACTGTTTCCCATTTGTTTGCCAATTGTACCATAGTCTGATAGTGGCAAAATGATGTTCCACTTTTCATGTGAGTAGTATAGGGAGCTTATTTCAACCCCCCCCCCCAGGGATGATATAAAATTGCACTGTTAAGTTACATTTTTGGAAAAAGACCCATTTTAGGCTTTATTGCAAATTGTTTAACTGAACTTCCATTAGCTGTGCTGTTTTATGCATGTTTGGTTTGAGAGATTATTTACTTGATATTACCATCTCGACAGTACTGAATTGTGTAATGTTTGTGTAGATTAATAAAGAGAAATAGAGTCGTTTTTATACATTATATAAAAATCCACAGAATATCACTTGTTGTGTTCGATTGTTTTTTATATATATGTTAGAAAATCCCCCCCCCCTCATTTTATCTGAAGTAGATTCTGGATTCAAAATAGATTCCGACTAAATTCCAGGTGACTTTAGTGATACTAACATTCAAGCAACAAGCTTTATCTTAGCTCATATTTGCTAAGGGCTTCTTTGAATAACAATCACTCGCAATAAGTCATACATATATTTCCCCAGAAACTATGCAATAGGGTATACATGTAGATAAATTACAATCAAGGATCTTACTTTCTGATTTAACCCTTGTCTTATTGATAATATTAGTGAGAATTTCATTCACCCTGGTGAGTTTGACAGACTCTTGATTTGAAATAGCCCTACTTTAATTCTTACAAAATCTCCCATTTTAAGTGTGAACAGTGAGCTTTATATACAGCTCGAAGTCCATTGTAGCCCCCAGTGGCTAAGACTTCCACCTGGTTATACTCACACCCTAACATTATACTTATTTGATACAACTGAACACTGGGCACATTCAGAATCTGGAGTCTGTTGCCATTCGCCTTTATGAGACATACAACTTACATTAAAAACTGACAAATCTTACTTAGTCTATATTCAGATTTTGTTATCCCGTAATTGTTATCCCGAAATTGTCCCACTTCATCCTAATAATATTTATCCCAGAATTTATCCCTAAATTTTTATCCCTATATTTATCCCAGAATTTATCCCTAAATTTTATCCCTAAATTTATCCCTAATTTATCCCTAAATTTTCATCGCAAAATTTATCCCAATTTGATCCCATTTTGTTTTGATACTGTGAACACGGACGTTGTTCAATTAAATAGGGATATACATTTCAACTTTTACTTGAACTTGTCCCGAAACTAAGTTAATGAAAACATCAAATCAAACTATTGACTCTTAGACTGTATTCTGTTTACGACCCCCAAACCACGCTACCACACGAGGGTCGTGACAGAAATGGTGGCCATTGTGGTGTGATGTAATACTTGACGTATTGACCCAAGCCCAGTTTAACGCCATTACTTACGTTTATGCTAATTTTCACTCATTAATATTCAAAGCGAGATCATTAACTGTAATCAACAATGTCGGAAAAGTCGGACATCTTAAATCTCGCAAAGCGCACCCCATTACCCGTGTCCGAATCCACGGAAAGACCCTTATCTAGCCGAAAATCACAGGCGGAAGCTTTTGAAACTATTATCCCCGGGTGGTTTGATGATTCTGAAGTTGTATTGGGCCATCAACACCTTAATGAACAAGAGTTGAAATTGGCTCAAGACGATACACTTCCACTTGAATCATCAGCAACTACACCACCCCCATTAAAGAGACCATCTTTTAAGCTTTCTCTGCCTGTCAAATTGACGCGCATTCCTAAATTTCGGTTAGATATGCCTAGACAACTTCCCAAGGGCAGGTTGTTTAATCCCCTGCTTAAAATGGTTAAGCAGGAGACTAAAGACCCAAAAAGTGACATTGGTACTTTTAAAAAATGGTGAAAAAAGTGTGAGTAGTAGAGGTGGGGCATATGAACCCCCCATAGCTGGTGCACCTGGGTCCCTTGAAAAGGAAACCTTGATGGGTGCTTATGGGGGAATGCCATCTAAAACACCTCCTTTAAAGCCTCTTCCAGCCTATGGAACAAGAGCTACTGCTAAACAAGCTTTTTCACCCCTCAGTTTAGCCCTCTATTTAAAAACAGATTTAGGGCCTAATGATCAAAGAATTTTACACCCTAAGTATAAAAGGAAAAGTGATTCTCAAATTGTGAAGTCCTCTGAATTGCAAAAGCCATTGGAAAAACTGTCAACAAGGGGAACATTCCAATTTAGAAAACCCTTAGATGTCCAAACACACCCTCATGCTTACCCCGGTAAGCCGTCCAGTGCATCTACTCATACAGCTGGTAGAAAGTCTGGACAGGGTTTAATGACATCCACAAAGGTTTCTTCTCATGGAAGATCTGCAAGTCATGGCAGTTTATCTGATTCAAACCCAAGCAAACATTCAATGCATACTTCTCCTCTATTACCAAGTGAGAATCAGAAAAATAAGCCACAGAGCTGGCCAAACAAATTTCAGTCCTCTCCATTTAGACCCTTACTTCCCCCAATTAAGATAACTGACATTCCCAGATTTAGACCAAAGACCCCAGATTTCTCTCATTCCCGTAATTTGACACTGAAGTCCCAAATTTATGTCAAACAGGAGAGAAAAGATGACTATACAAAGCCAAACTATGATTTGTTGGGTCATTCTAGCAAAATGGGAGTAGTAAAGGATGTGCTAGTCAACTACCAGGTTCCACCCCTTTCTCC